CATCCTCCGGCAGGATTCGGTTAAGCACTTCAGATTTAATGACTGTTTCCCATAGGTGGTGCAAGTTCGAATCCTGGCGAGGAGACATATTTTCTAACAAAGCATCTCGGCTATTCAGGCCGGTAAATATAATTAAATAAAAATACCGTGTAATTCAAGAAACAGGGTGTTTACTTGAACATGAGTATCGTACACATTTGAAATAGCTTTTAAGCCATAAAGAATATTTATATATATATATATATATATATGTATATGTTCACAAACTAATATTCCATGGTTATGATTTATTACAGTGGAATCGTAATCACGATCCAAATCATCAGACCTATAAATTTTGAATTTGTAGGTCTGATGTATTGTATCATGATTACGATTTATATTCTATTCTTGCTCTGTCCTGGATATTAAGCTGTACCTGGAATCTATTCTCTTGGAAATTCATATATATATATATATATATATATATATATATATATATATATATAGTGACCACTAATATTATCAATATATATATATATATATATATGAAGAAATATAGTTTTCAGGTGTGGTATATGGGATAAAGATATCAGATATATATCAGTGTGAGTTTTGCCATAATCACCATTAGACTCAGCCAACCATTTCTGAATCCTCTGCACTGTCTTCAGATTGACACCCAAACACTCTATGTTCGTATTCGAGCTTCTGGTGCATATGGCAGGCTGTATAGCAGGCTGTTCCTAAAATGATGGCAGAGTGAACAGAAATTATACCGTCCAGTCGAATCCACGCGAATATATATATCTATCTATCTATCTATCTATCTATCTATATATATATATATATATATATATATATATATATATATATATATATATAACTGAGATATTGATACAAATTAAACACTTACGCCCCTTTTTTAGTAATTGCTCTAGCCGTTACCATAGTAATTTTAATTTTAATAATGAATAGTTTTATAAAAACGCGTAAATTTCAACAATTACTTATTCAAAAAATTTCGCTTGAAGATGGAACAGAGCTTGGTACTTTAATTCAATTTTATTCAAATAATTATATTGAAGTTTTCGACTCTTTTTTTTTTTGAAACATGAGAACTCTTATGTAGTGATGGAATCATATTTTTAAATAAATAATTATATATATATATATATATATATATATATATATATATATATATGGTATAAAATGACAATTGGAAAAAAAAAATTACCTTTATAGTAAAAAAATATAGGAAAAAAATCCCTTATTATAAAGGTAATTTATATTAAGCAGAAAAAAGGCTTAGACAGAAGCCTCTATCTTTTTAAATTAGGATTTTTTAATGTAACTATAACAACAAAAACATTTCGATGTCATTTTTGCCTTGAAAACGTCGGAAGACAAAAACGCGTCAGCAAAAAATCTAAGATTTTTTCCATTTGTCATTTTATACCAATCTGTCTTTATCTGGAATTTAATTATATATATATATATATATATATATATATATATATATATATATATATATATATATATGAGATAACAATATATATTTTATATATCAAGAAAATATTGGGGTTGGTGGAAATGTTTGGCAAAGAGGAAAAAATGGGGAAATAATTGTCGCAAAATATACATAGGAGAAATCTGAAGGAATCTAAGTAAAAGGTTATATGAACACAAAAGGGACATTTTACAAAACAATAAGTCAAATGCGTTGGTTATCCACCGTAACGAGACTGACCAAATTTCTTCTCTTATCAAAGAAAAAACAATTCACTACGATGAAAATTTCTAGAGAGTGGATTGATCGCATGTTCATCTAAATTTGCACCCTGGCTCTTACTATATTTGAATATTCTTAGTAGAACTTCCATTATCACAGTGTGGTATATCTACTAACGAAAGTGATGGACATAAAAAGAATATAAAATAAAATCGGATTTTTTCTTCTTTCTTTCCTTCTTTTCTAGATTTAAAAAAAAAAAAACAGAATTCTCAGCATTGCTCGTTCGTGCGCATGTGCAGTCGCACCAACATAACAAAATTTAGTCCGATGAAGTTCTAAAAGACGAAACGAATCACAAGAAGAATTTTCCACTTTGTCATACATTTTCTCATATATATATATATATATATATATATATATATATATGATATATATTTTATCTGAATTTTTTTATCTTTTTAAGCAATGTCACCCGTTGGGGTATTTTCTCCGTTTTGCTAAATTAGAGCACTAACCTTACTGTTTAGGTAGTCGTTGTTTCTTTTTTTTTTTTACATTTCTGCTTTTATGCCTTGATTTATTGTTTATATTTTCTTTATAATTTTTATATTACAAGTTTGTCAAGAAAATAATATTTTTTTTCCGCCCAGTAACCGTTATAGATCTTTCCAGTACTGATGGGTGTTTCCCTACTACCATATTGTTGGAAATAATCTTGATTATGTCATTATTTTCTCTTCGTGTTACATGTGATACCCATTTTAATTCGACAGAATCCATCTTGCACATTTATAAATCTACCATTCGTCCGCGTATTGAATACTGCTGTCATATCTGATGTGATTCTTTCTATATATATATATATTGAGAATCTTGAAAGAAAAGGCAAATAGGGGTCTGTAATGTTATTGGTCCTAACCTGGCATCTCGACTTCAGACATTCAGACTGGCTGTGACTTTTGTATAAATATTTTTATGGCAATTGTTCTGATGAGCTTTCCCCTCGTTGCCTCCACAGCATAAATATAAACGTGAAACAGGATTGGGTGAGATCGAGAATGAAAAAGAACTTTAGGGAGGAAAATGGGCAATAAAAGAACAG